GCACTCCATGAAAACGAGGGGAAGCAAATAAATGGTTCAATATAATCCGCAGGGAATATGGGACGAAATTAATTAGAACGTTCCCCTTTGTATCACTAATGCCTTTTTAACTGGTTCTATTTAACTGCAATAGAGGGCACCCTCAGCCATTTAAGGGCCTCTTGTTCGGCAGCTAAAGCAAATGACAGATGTCAAGCCAGCTAAAAGCCACCCAAACAGTATCTGCCTTTTTTAATCTTCTGCAATGTGTTCGTTCTTCTGTGGAGCATATCATTATCCTTTTTTTAAAAAAATTGAGATGTAGAAGAGAAGAACTCACAGAAGTCGTGCAAAGGGGGAAGAGGGGGCGAGAGCCCCCCGACAGAATGGCCAGGAGTCGGACACGGACGACTGGGTGACATCATCATCACAGCCTCTTTTCATTGGTGGAGAAGCACCCGAGGGGCCTCTCTTTGGAAAGCGGACAGCCAGGGGTAGTCAGCCTTGGCTCTTTTATGACTCGTGGACTTCAGCTCCCAGAATTCCTGAGCCAGCCATGCTGAGGGGAAAGGGAGAGGTTTCCAAGCTGAGCCAAGCTGGCTCAGGAATTCTGGGAGTTGAAGTCCACAAGTCATAAAGCGACCTAGGCCTAGGCCAGAGGTAGGCAACCTTGACTCTTTTAAGACTGGTGGACTTCAACTCCCAGAATTCCTGAGCCAGCCACGCTGAGGGGAAAGGGAGAGGTTTCCAAGCTGAGCCAGGCTGGCTCAGGAATTCTGGGAGTTGAAGTCCACGAGTCATAAAAGAGCCAAAGTCCACAAGTCATGAGCTACCCCTGGGCTAGACTTTGGCACGTCCCATCCCACCTTTTTAAAGCCCAAGAGGGGAAGGTCCCCTGGGAAGCCCTGGCTGCGCTGAGCCATCTCTTCAGGCGGCTTCTTTGACTCTGCGCCGACTGGCGGCTGCTGGACACAAATTCACCCCTGATGGCGGCCAATTTGGGCTTCTCTCTCTCCAGGCTCCCTGGGGAATCCCAGAAGCATCAGGGGAGGAAGGGCAAGACCCACCCAAGGGGTTTCCTTTCCCCCCCCCCATGAGCGGGAGCCCTCCTCCGCCCTGGGGAGGCTCCTCCTTGAAGGGCCCTTTCCCCCCCATTTCTGGGATCTGCCTTCCTGTCCCCTAAATCCAGTGTAGATCTCCGGGCCAGCTATTCCCAGCTCTTTCCAGCTGTCTTCATAGGAAGGATGGAACATATCTGCAAATAGCGAAGCCAAATTTTGCTTGAATATAGTCAGAGCTCTTAGGGGAAAGGCTATAACTTTGTAAATTTATTGATTGATTTGCTTGCTTAGCTTGCCCAAAAAGCTAATACAATCCTAGGTTGTATAAACAGAAGCATAGAATCAAGAACACGCGAAGTCTTAATACCGCTTTTATAAAACCCTAGTGAGGCCACACCTGGAATACTGCAGCCAATTTTGGTCACCATATCACAAAAAAAGATGTTGAGATGTTGGAAAAAATTCAGAGAAGAGCAACTAAGATGATCCAAGGCCCGGTGACTAAAACATACAAAGAACGGCTATGGGACTTGGGTTTGGCTAGTCTAAAGAAAAGAAGAAATAGGGGAGACAGGATAGCAGTCTTCCAGTATTTGTGATGTTGCCTCAAAGAAGAGGGGGTCATGTTATTCACCAAAGCACCAGAGGACAAGACAAGAAACACTGGTGGGAAACTGACCAAAGAGAGAAGCAACCTGCAATTAAGGAGAAACTTCCTAACAGTGAGGACAATTAACCTGTGAGACAGCTTGCTTCCAGAAATTGTGGGTGTCCCGTCACTGGAGTTTTTAAGAAAGACTAGACAGCCACTTGTCTGAGATGGTGTAGGTTCTCCTGCTTGAGCAGGGGGCTGGACTAGAAGACCTCCAAGGTCCCTTCCAGCTCTATTCTATTCTCATGTGAAGTGGATAGCATCACTTTATTCTGCACTGGTGAGACCACACTTGGAATAATACTGTGTCTAATTCTGGTCACCACAATACAAAACGATGCCGAGGCCCTAGAAAGAGTACAGAGGAGAGCAAGAAAGATGATTTTGTTGGGCTGGAGGCTAAAACATACAGTGAACTATTGAGAGAATTAGGTTTGTCTAGACTAACTATGAGGAGTAGGGGGTGATATGATAGAGAGGCTGGCTCTGCGCTCTGCAGCGGGCCAACTTCTACCATCCTCATCACAGCCAGAAATTAAAACCAGTGGGGACACATTCTGGCATCTGCCATGGGCGGTTCAGTGGGTGACTCTCCCTACATTGCCCCATGCCAGGGAACTCACCACAGTGGGAGAAAGAGGGGCTACTGGGCTGGATCTGCCTAAGCAAACAAAAAGGAAGACCTCTGTCTCTTCTCTGGTGGTCTGTCCCTTGGGGATGAAGAGATGCTCAAGGAATTCAGTCCCTGAGAGACCCAACAGCTGATCTCTCCAGTTCCTTCAAATGCTGAGATAGGCCTCACCCTTCCTCTGGGTGGTCGACACACTGGATGCCCTACTCCAGTGGTGGTGAACCTATGGCACGGGTGCCAGAGGCGGCACTCGGAGCCCTCTCTGTGGGCACACGTGCCATTGCCCCAGCCTTGCCTCCCCCTGCGACCCCCTCCTCACCAGCAGCCCCCCTGAAGGAGAGTCGCCCCCGAGCGTGGCCCACATGGAGAGCGCAGCCAAGGACATGGCAGCCAGGCAGCGTAGACAAGACTCTGTCCTCACACCCCATCATGCAATTGATGCTGCAGGGTGAGGGTAGAGGGTGTGGCCGCCATAGCACTGGTGGGCTGCCTGGGCGATCTGTGGCAGGCCCTGGAGGCTGTGAGTGGTCTTGTGGGCAGGTGGAGTGGGGGCAGCGGCAGTTTTGGGGCATTCGGTCTCTAAAAGGTCACAGCCCTACCCTCACCTCCAAAACTCAGGATTAAACTGGGTTTAGAAGTCCACGCATCAGGAAGTGATCTGACTTTCTGGTCAACAACTTCTTCTTTCTCTAGGATCTTTATTAAAAATATTTTCATTCGTGCACTCATCCATTGGTTCGACCTACTGCTCAACTCAGAACTACCTGGGGTAGCATAGAGATGAACTGAAACCTGTAGTTAAAGCAGATGCAGCATCAAAATGAACTGACAACCAAGGACTCTAATCAAGATACTATTATACTCCTGGAGTCACAGTCAGTCCACATCCTGGCCCAGCACCACAGGAACAGTCGACGGCCCAGTGATGCGAATTTCTTACCTACCTTTTTCAAGCACAGGTCAACACAGAAACAAACAGATGGAACTGCTCTTAAGAGGGATTACCCATAGCAGGCAAAGAAAATGTGATCAAGGATGGAAGCACTAAAGGATTTCTGGGCTACCTAATGGATTAAATGGAGGACTGTGTTCTACAAGAACTCGTAGAGTTTGGGAACAATAAGGGCAGAAAAACAGAATTTAAACAAAAATAATATCAGATCAGAGCGAATAATACAAAAATGTGTCTCGGCATCACTCCTTAATTATTGCTGACTTCTAGAATGCCATCAGAGTGTGTGGTCTGCAGCTAGAGGGGGGGGAAGGCTCACACTGGCCAAGTAGGGATCCTTTCATTGGGATTCCTGCACTAAGCACCGGGTGAAGTGTCTCTCGGGGCTCCCGTTCCAAGAGTGTTGGAATTAATGGGATTCCTTTACAAAATTAGGAGCATCAGAGCAGAATTTGCCCTTGTCACTCCTGAGCAGAATGTTAATTATGCAAATTGACTGGATTAAGTGCATCCAGCTTCTGAGATGCTGTTAGAAAGGGAGGAGAGGAAACGCAGACTTTCAGCCTAGCCAATGCCAGAAGCCTCACAGAGCTTTCTGAGCAGAAGCAGTCTGATTACAGTGATGTCCACATACTAGCAAAAGAGCCATTCCTAAAGCCATTTTAGTTAGGATCCAGTTGCTCTCCACAGGCACATGGAAAACTGTACTTCATTCTTTCTTGCTCATTCAGCATCTTCCTCCTTGGGAGAAAAGGGATTTTACATCACCACCTAAAGTTTTCTGGCTTCGAGTAATGTCTGAAGCAGAAGCCTGCGTTAAAAAGGCGCCTGGCTGAGACTTTACCGCACTCAGTTTGGAAGAAACAAGTCAAAGTTTTGGGACGGTGATAAAATGTTTGACTAGAGTGCTATTTAGTGGCCAAAATCAACCCCCATCTTTCAGCTCCACAGACCCCTGGGGCCTCCCCTAAAACTAGGAGATGTGGAGACTGCAGTAGGAGAAGCCAGGGAGAAACTCTTTGTTGGATCATTAGTAAGTCAAAGTATATTCACAAAGGATTTTTTTTAAGGTGAGGAAACTCTGTGAGGCTTTCCATTCTCTGCTTCAGCCAAACGGCTTCTTATAAAACCCAAGCAGAAAATATGGATTGCCTCTTTTGAGACTTAGCTGAACACTCTGTTTTTATCCAAGTACAATGAATCCTTTGGTTTCTTTTTCTCAAGTTCTTTGCAAAGTTTTTATTTTAAAATGAGTAATAATAACAATAACAGAATAACAGATGGAATGACAAATTGAAGCAAACAAAAATCCCACTCGTTCATCTTAGAAGGGGATACAGGCAGCCCGCCATTGGAGACCATGCATTTAATGATCATTCAGAATTGAGAGCATGCTGAAAAAAATTACTTGTAACCCATCCTTGTATTTATGGCCTTCGCAGGGTCCCTGTGATCGTGGGGTCACAATTCGGGTGCTTGGAAACTGACATGGATCCACGACGGTTGCAGCATCCCGGGGTCAGGGGGTCGCCATGAGCAGCCTAATAAGCGCAGTGATTTGCTTAGCGACCACGGCAAAAAAAGTCATCCAATCAGGCACGAATCACTTAGTGGTGGAAATTCTGGCCCAAACTGTGGCCATGCATCGAGAACTACAGGTAGTCCTTGACTTACGATCACAATTAAGATCAGAATTTCCATTGTTAAGCAAAGTGGTTGTTAAACGAATCACATGGTCATGAAGCCAATCCGCTTCCCCCATTGTTGGAAGCTGGCTGGGAAGGCCCCAAACGGCGGTCACGTAATCCTGGGGTGCTGCAACCATTGTGAATCCAGGCCAGTTGCCGAAAGTCCCGGGATTTCGGTCCTGCGGCCTTGGGGAGCGGCGAGGGTTGTATGAGTGTGAGCGCCGATTGTACGTTGTTTTTTTCCAGTGCTTTTGCAACGTCAAATGGTCACTAAATGAATGGTTGTAAGTTGTGGACTACCTGTTCCTGTAAAGCCTCCTCACCCACTAATAACACTTGGCCAGACTCTTGTCCAGCATCTCTGCTCTTGATTTTAACTCCAGATTGCATCAAGAACCTTTTCCCAGAAACCTCTTTCAATAATTCCCATTCAATTTGATGATAAAATGTCCTTTTGATTTTTTTTTTTTTTTTCAAATAAGAAAAATGCAATAAACTTCTCTGGGCAAAGTGCCAGGGTCTTTGTCTCATCTTACTCTAGGCCTCAGACAACCACCGAGCAGGTGTGCGTATTAAGCGTCCCCATTTTAACTCTGCCCAAACTCTGCAGCTCCCCAGCTTCTCCTCCATCCACGAGAATCCCCTGGAAACGACATCAGGCGAATCCCCTCTTGTGGCAAAGAGAAGGCAGAGAGGGCAACACACGTCAACACTAGGCTGCAAACCCAGTGAAGAACGCCACCCACAAAATGGCATTCAGAAGCCCCAGATCGGGGGGGGGGAGGAAGCCTGACGGAAATGGAAGCGTGGCTTTAGCGCGGTAATTTTAAAAAGCCAGAGCTTTTGGGTAGAAATGGAGAAGGTAATTAAAGGACAGCGAAGAGGGATGAAGATGGGCCAGGAGAATGGGTGAGCCTGTAGAGAGCCCAGAGCCTGGAGCTGATGGGCTCTTCAGACCCGCAAGGCTGACCACTCAAGAAGTCAACGGCATAATGGAAACCCCAAACTGGACAGGAGCCAGTTCGCTTCTTGGCAGCAGACATAACAAGGGTGATGGCTTAAAGCTGACTTGGGAGCAGCAAAGGGTAACCAGAGAGCCTTTGACCATGGCTTATTAATTTCCGGTTTCTACCTGTCTTTCTCTCGTGTTGGGGTCACCCAAGAGAGCTCCGTTATGAGCCACGGCTACGCTTTCAAAGCTCTGCAATGGAGACTGTTCTGTAGTGGTTTTTGATAGATAGGCGTCCTTTCTCAAATAGGACGTGACAAACTTCCCCCCTTTTTCTTTTCTCTCTCTCTCTCATCCTGAACACGTTCTTCTTATCCCAAGAAACAAAACCCTCCGATGCTCAGCATTGAGATGCCTTCCAGACATCGTGGCCGTTCTGTCTCTCTTGCACGCTTACCTCAAACACTTCCTCGTCCAAGATCCTTGTTCCAAAGACAATGATGCCATTAACGTCAATGATGGGATGATCGCTTCGGTCCAGGAACTTGGTGACCTTTTTTTTACAGTCCAAAATCAGAGTGACATTCTTCTTATGGACGCTGAAAGCAACTCGATGCCACCTGGGGAAGAGCAGGCCCAGCAGAAGGTCAAAAGAAGGTCCAAGGGTCAGGGCTTCCCATGCCCACCTCAGCCCAAAGGGAAGCTTCTAGAACCGCCAAGCATGAAAGCGTCTTCCCTTGACTGGTCATTACATTTACACTGATGCTTCCTCTTTCGCTGCAGGACGGAAAAACCACCGGCATTATCTCAGCTCTCAAGAAGTATGAAACGCTAAGCCTAGTTTAATCAATCACATTGGCCAGTCTGATATAAACCAGACTGGCATGCCACTCATTTTAGCCTAAACCAGTGGTTCTCAACCTTTCTAATGCCGCGACCCCATAATACAGTTCCCTGTGTTGTGGTGACCCCCATCCACTTATACATCACCGGGTGCCAGGGGTGTGGCCAAAGAAAAGGGGAAAAAAATGGCGGACAGCCTTGCTTGGCGACCCCCATGAAATTGTCGTTCGACCCCAAATGGGGTCCCGACCCACAGGTTGAGAACCACTGGCCTAAACTTTCACTTTCCCCCTGGACTTTCCTTAGTGAAGAGCTGCAAAAGAAACAGGAATTTTCATACGTGGACGTCCCTTTTTTAGCTTATAATAAACAGCCTATCTCACCTCCATGATTTTCTGCCTATTGTGCAGGGTTTAGGGAATCAAACAATAATTTAACACATCATTGCAACAGAAACTTATCATGCCAAAAATGAACTGTGATGAAGGTGAGGTCATAAAAAGAGGGTTGGCACACTGCATGCAGCCCACTCCGGATTTACGGCAACTTTCCATGCTTAGGCAGCTCCAGATGTGCTGGCCAACCATGGGAATTCTGGGTGTGACAGTTCCAAAACTTCTGGAAGGCAGAGTTGATAAGACGGACTTAGGAAATTAAATTCATTTGAAACCCATTGTGGGCTCCTGCGTTCTCATAAGCTGTTCCAGCCATAAACAGGTTATTTTGCTTATCTGTAAATATAAGGGAATTTACTGAGAATGAAAAAGTGGTTATTAAAAAAGCCTGCCAAATGCCCAAGCAATGAGGCATCCCCAGTTTTGGGTCTCAAGAGCACTCGTTCTTTCGGTACACGGGAGAGGAGCTTAAGAGAAGCTTGCTCTCATTCCACATTGACTCATGAAAGCAAAATCCATGTTCAAAGTGTTTTTGGACAGTTGAGTCTCCTTCCTCCCAGGGGCCACAGAGACAAGAAGGAACATGGGGGCAGCAGTTGTTTCTTTATAGTATTCCAGGAAGTGGCGGCCACAGCAAAGAGACAGCAGTTTCCGAGCAAGGGGAAAGAAGGCTTCATAGCTTATCCCATGTCCACTTTCAGGGCGCTCCTGCAGCAGCCCCGTCCGTCTTCATGGGGGGTGCTCTCCAGCCTTCTTGATTTGCCTTCCCAGCATTCCTGCTTCCTCCCGAGAGACAGCAGCCTTCAAGCCACCAGCTGAGGCCTGAACGTTTCTGAGGACACCCCTGAGTGGGATCTTTTTTAAAGCTGGAAATATTTATTTATTAATAAAATTTATATGCTGCCCAATCCCGAGGGACTCAGGGCGGCGTACAAAATTAAAACAATAAATATAACAATAAAACAATAAAATGAGTGCATTCGTACAACATGTCCCAATCGTATCCTGCCCCCCCCCCCCCGGGGACATCAACCCCAGGCCTGCCGGAACAGGAGAGTTTTAATAGCTTTCTTGAAGGCCAGCAAGGTGGGAGTACTTCGAATCTCGGGGGGAAGTTGATTCCACCAGGTCGGAGCCACCACAGAAAAGGCCCTTCCCCGAGGGCCCGCCAGCCGACATTGTCTGGCCGACGGGACCTGAAGGAGGCCCAATCTGTGGGACCTCACCAGTCTCTGGGAACTATGCGGCAGTATGCGGTCTTGTAAGTAACCTGTAAGTAATATCTTAGCAAAAAGGATCTCCAGGCATTAGCTGTGGAGCGTGAAATGCTCTGTGAATTAGATACTGAAGACAGCAACAAGACAAATTCCTATTTTCCGCTGGAAAAAGACACGCTAATCTTCAACATATCTTTAAGTCTAATTAATGTTATTTGTTGGATGGCTTCTTCCTATAATTCCACGGCTGCTGCTTCTTTCTTATCACTGTAATTGGATTTGTGTCTCATTAAATTATTCCACTTGCATTTTTATATGTAACTGTCTTTGCTCTTCGTTTCACGAATTAGAGGCCATAAATACCTTGTCAAATCAGACACAGAGTATTTTCCAGGAAAAATACAAAACGAATAAACAGCTATATAGCAAGTAGTAAGTTTTCTAAAAAGGGGAAAGCAAAAAACCAAAGTCAAATCATGTCAGCTAGGCAAAGAACGTGCGCCTGGGCATCTCTGCTTGGCTGGATTGGATTATTTTAGCAAGTTTCTAGAGCCCAAGACTGTCGATGGATCTGAAAGTTTATGAGCAGCCAAAGGAGTGGTGATGATCGTCCCCACAGCACTTTCAGCCCCATTTGGCAGAAACAAAAATCTTCTGACTTAAAGAAAACCTGCCCTGGATGGACCCAGGATTCCTTTTCCTCTCGGCTCGTGTCTGCCATGGCTTGGAGGGAGGAAGATGGAGAGCTAGCCTTTTCTCAGGCAGGTCTCCTGATCAGAGCCTTCTGGAGCTACAAGAGGCCCCTGGAGAAGCCAAACTGAATCACCCCAGAGAGAGGGCAGTCCAACCCCTGCTTGTCCCTCCAAGCCGCTTTCACTCTTCGGATCCACTGCCAGTCGCTGCAGCTGGATGCAGAGAAGTAGCAAGTTCGGCTCTTGAAGGGAGGGGTCACACATTCAACAAGGAGCCAGAGTCATCGGTGTGTGTGTTGATTTGGGTTTGCAAACTCCAACTTGACCTTGGATTCAACATCTGGTGGGAACTCAACCACTGTCTTACCCCACTGGACAAAGTAGGCGGCCATATGAGCCACCCTCTTGCTTGTTTATTTGGGGCTCCCATGGGGCCACTTTTGGAGAGCGGTTTCTGGAGCTTCAGAACAGCCTGAACATTCCTGCCCCCATCATCTCCCCAAGGAGTCCCGCCCACCACCCAAAGGAAGGGAACCTGGAGTTCCTCCACCTGACCCTCCACCCAGCCCCCTTTCCTTCCCTCACTCACTTGCCATCCGAGAGGTTGATGCCCCGGAACAGAGGGTAGTTCTCGGGGCCCGGCTTCTCCATGTGGTCCTCATACAGGAAAACGGGGGACCGCCCCAGCTCCACCCCGACCTGCTGGATGCCTTGCTCGTTGTAAATGGAGATCAGGAAAGACTGGCCACCCTTCTTGGCCTTCACCGTGGTCAGGATCGAGAAATCCTCCGGAAACGGAGACACTGGAAGCAGAAAAGGGAGCAGAGCGGAGGGCGGGATCAATTTCTCTCCCCAGGAACCACCAGCATTGGCTCTGTAGCCCCATGGCAGGGTTGGGTTGGAAAAGCCAGCTGAACGAGGAAGGTCTGCTTTGAGACTTTAGGCCTCGGCTTATGACCATTTGTTTAACGACAGTGCTGGAAATAGTGACTTGCGACCAGTCCTGCCACTGGCAGCCCCTGCAGCTTGCGGTCACGGAGTCAGGCAGCTGGCCTGTTTTGGTGGAGGTCACCATGTCCAGGGGGGGCTGTGACCACCCTCCACCACCTGCCTGGCCAGTTTCTGACCAGCAAAGCCAAATGGGGAGCCAGATTCACTTAATGACCATGGCATAAGGTCATAAAATTGGGTGTGACCCACTTAACTGCATCACTTCCTGGTGGAAGTTCCAGTCCTCATTGTGGTCATAAACTAAGGACTACCTGTATTAGTAGCTATGGTGGCATAGTGGTTAGAGTGCAGTTTTGCAGGCTGACTCTGCCGACTGCCAGCAGTTCAATCTTGATCGGCTCCAGGCTGATTCAGCCTTCCATCCTCCCGAGGTCGGTAAAATGAGGACCTGGATTGTTGGGAGGGGCAATAGGCCAACTCTTTAAACTGCTCAGAGAGGGCCATAAAGTAGCGGTCCCTGACCTTTGCAGTTTGGCAGCCTGGCGGGGGGGGGAGAGGGGAACCGGGCAGCATAAGCAGCGGGCCAGCGTGCACATGCATGCCTACGCAGCTCGACTTGCAAAAGTCAAGCTGCAAAACTGTGTGCATGCACACCAGCCAGCTGCTCACATGGCCTGGTTCCGAATAGGCCACAGCCCAGGGATTGGGGACCCCTGCGGTAAAGCACTGGGAAGCGGTATGTAAGTCTAAGTGCTATTGCTAGTGTTAGTGTGATTAATGATATCCCAAACTGGGAAATGCTTCCATGTCCACACAGACACACACACACAGCACAACTCCATTTGGACTTAGGATCCTTTAGGATCTCCAAGGAATCTCCCCCGCCAGGAAGGGTAGCATTCCAGGTCAAACAACTGGATGCTTTGCACAGCTGGCAGCGGCGAGAGCAGCGACACACCAAGATCCTCAAACTACCAGCTGAGGAAAGCAAACTACCAATTAGCCCCAACTACAGCCTGCCCTGGGCTGGAGAGTCTTTTGTGTAGCTACGTGTCACTGCATCTTCCCTCAAGACCCTTTTAATGTCAAATCCCCAATCTGCATTTCCTTTTGGACATGCTCTGCAATTACCTCTGTTGTCTTTCTCTCGCCATCCCCTCATTTGCTTGTTTGGAGCCGAACTAACATCTAGTTACTCAGAGGAGGGGTGTTATTAACAAAAGGAGTGGGAAGCGCAGCAAAGGCCAGGCTGCCTCAGTTTTGCACACCAATCCCTTCTGCGCCTGCCCACAATTCCCAGGCCCCTTTTCTTGGCCAGGGCCAAGCCCCAGATGATGTTGAGAAAAGGCCTGGCATCTTGGCCGTCAGATCAAAGCAACCCGCTGCTTCTCTCCACATTCCTCCGGCTTTTGGCAAGAGGTCTTCCGAGCCGAGGTGGCGCAGCGGTTAGGGTGCAGTACTGCAGGCCACTTTAGCTGACTGTGTTCAGCAGGTCAGCGGTTCAAATCTCACCGGCTCAAGGTTGACTCAGCCTTCCATCCTTCCGGGGTAGGTCAAATGAGGACCCAGATTGTTGGGGGCAATGTAAATATATATATATACATTGCTTACTGGTGTACACCGCTTAGAGAGTGCTTGCACTTAAAGCGGTATATAAGTCTCATAAATAAATAAATAAATAAATAAATAAATAAATAAATCCACCCCAAGAAGGCGCTGCCCTGGCTGAAGATAGCCCTGCTGCGGCTTTGCTCAGAAAGCGAGCATCTGCCTCGCCTGCCACAGGTCCAGCTGGGAGGGCCTCTGCGTCGCAGCCAAGCAGGACCTGAATCCACCTGGGCCAATCAGGAGAGGAAAGAGCGGAAGCGCCAGGCTCCGTCAAGCGCCCCAGGCTGGCTGTCAGCAGGACACGGGCATCCGAGGAAGGGGAAAGGGTGCCATCCTTTCTGGGAAACAGGAGTGGTGTCGCTGGCGCTGGAGATGTTCCCTAGTTGGGTAATGAACATCTGCAAGCCAAGGACCCAGCCCAGAGAGCACCGAGGGCCCCACAGTTGCACCCTGAGCCACAAATATTCTCTTACCTGGGAAAAGCTGCTTGGTTGGGGCACTCAGCTGGGCATCCTTGGTCACGTGATAGGCCACATCTGCTCCCTTGGAAGACCGCCTGCTGGTGCAGAACCCTGTCGTTTTTGAGATGCCGTCGGGTAAATTATGGAAATCTAATACCTTCAATAGATCTTCAGGCTCAGCTGAAAGAGAGAAATAAGCCAACATTAGGACTACAGACTCCCAGAATCTCAGAGGTGAAAGGAATCCTTGAGATCATTTAGTTCAGTGGTTCTCAACCTTTCTAATGCCGCGACCCCATAATACAGTTCCCCATGTTTAAAAGAAGGATAAAATTTACCCCACAACTGTTTTTGTTGGGTATTGTTTCGGATTGTGATAACAAAGAGACTATATTAATGTTAAATTTAATTACAGCGGCCAGGTTGTTAATAGGGCAGTGTTGGAAGAAGGAATCTTTGCCTACCTTGCAAGAATGGTTTTTTAAAGTTTCCTACTTAGCGGAAATGGCAAAGATTTCGGCTTTCTTGAAAGAGCAATCGCAAAAGAAGTACCTCTTGATGTGGAAAAGATGGATAAATTTTATACAATATAAGTACGATATAAAAAATACTATTTAGTTTTTGAATAATTTTTATTTAAAGTTTAAAATATAAAGTTGATTTAAAGTTTAAGTATAATTAGAAGTATAATTATTATTATTTTTTTATTTTATTTTAATTTTTTTATCTTTTTTATCTTTTTCTTTTTTCTTGTTTCTTTTCTTTTCCTCTTTCTGTTTTCTATACATATTGGTGTTAAAGTATTTTATAATTTGTTTAATGATTGTAATCAAATTTGTTTATGGTTTATTTGTGTTTAAAAAAATTTTTTAAAGTTCTAATTAAGCCTGTATTCAGCTCTGGGAAGATTGGGGGAAGGTATTGGGGTGGGTTGGGAGGGTTTGGGGAAGGGAATTTTATTATAAAATTTTAAAATTTTTAATAAAAAAAAACAAAACAGTTCCCCATGTTGTGGTGACCCCCAACCATTTATACATCACCGGGTGCCAGGGGCGTGGCCAAAGAAAAGGGGAAAAAATGGCGGACAGCCTTGTTTGGCGACCCCCGTGAAATGGTCGCTCGACCCCAAATGGGGTCCCGACCCCCAGGTTGAGAACCACTGGTTTAGTTAAACCCCCCGCTTAGCACCGTCAATAGATGACCCTTCAGCCTCTCCTTGAAGGAGAGCGCACCACTTCATGTGGCAGCCTGTTCCCCTGGCTGTACCTCTTGGCAACCAGCCTTTAGGTTCAATCCACCACACAGCCCAACAATAACCAGAAGCACCAAAGCGGCTTTATTTCAAAGGAAGGAAGGAAGGAAGGAAGGAAGGAAGGAAGGAAGGAAGGAAGGAAGGAAGGAAGGAAGGAAGGAAGGAAGGAAGGAAGGAAGGAGAATGGATCAGTTTCAGAGAGGAGCACTCTGTGCAGGTCAGCCAATATAATGAAGAGGCCCTTCAGTTTGCAGCTGCTTTTATGGAAAAAAATTTCCATTTAAGGAAACAAAGTTTTTCCTGAGTTTATCCATTTAACGTACATAAAATGTTCTGACAGATTTTTCCATTCTCTTTATTCCTCATTTGGTACCTCTGACAACTTTACTAAGCAGCTAAAAGCAAGATGGTGGCAATGTCTACTGATAAAAATGAAACCTCTAAGTCAGACATGTCAAACACAAGGCCTGGGGGCCGGATGCAGCCCGCTAAGTGGTTTCATGTGGCCCGCAAAGCCATCCTGGAAACAGTAAGGGAACGGCCCCCATTGCCTTGGCCCAGGCCGGCCGGGAGCCAATATACAATTTTGCGATGGCCATCTATGCTGAAACGCATTCAGTCTTAGCTCCACAAGGCCGTCTGGAAACAGCGAGGAACCAGCCCCTGCCGCGTTGGCCCCGTCCCCTGGGAGCATGCTGGGGAGCCGTCACCCTTTGTGAAGAATGAAGAAATGCACCATTGCTTGGAAGTGGCCAGTAAATGGCCCTCACCTACTTCACATATCCGGCTTGATGGGCTCCGGGTAGGGGTTTCGGCAGGCAGTGGGCACTCTCCTCACAGCGCCGAGAGGCTGAGCTGGGTGGCACGAAACTGATGAGAAATGCAATGCTGCCCAGCCCCCAGTCTGCCCAGTTTCAGCAGGCAGCAAGGTGCAAAGCTGGCGAGCTTCACACTTCCCGGCTCAACCTCTCCGCGCTGTGAGGAGAGCGCCCCTCTGCCTGCCGAGACCAGGCAGGCTGGGAGCTGGGCGGTACTGTGCAGGTAACATTGACTCTCACGCGGCTCATGGCATCCCCTCCCCCAGAGCCCACCAAGTCAGATATGTGAAGAAGGTGAGGGCCATGTGCTGGCCACTTCCAGGCGATGGTGCACTTCTTCATTCCTCACGAAGGGTGACACCTCCCCAGCTGCCTTTCTTGCCTGTTTTTCTCCCTCCCTCATCTCAAATATTTTCCCACCACTCTGTACAAAGGAAGGAAAGAAGAAGGAGAGGGAGGGTCTGAGAGAAGTCCTGCCTTAGTCCTGACTGCTGCCCTTTCACCATCCCCTTGCCCCCTCCTCCTGTCCTGTCCTGGGGGTCTCCCATCCTATTGCTAAGGAAGCTTTGGATACAAAGCCGGGTCTCCTCCCGTGGAGAGGGAATGGGCCTCTCTCTGACTCTGCCCTTGTACCCATCATGAGCAATCTGGATAAGGAGAACAAGCACAGCAGCAGCAGCCTTGAGGAGGAAGCAAGTGCAGCTGGGCGCCCCCTTGGGGAAGTGGGGCTGGGCTTGGTACCGCGGGTGCTCAAGGGCCAGGCTGGGCATTTGACCTCTGCTGCCCAGGGCTCTCGGCAGCCCGCACCACCATCCCCCTCCAATGGTCTGAGAGGAACAGTGAGGCTCCTCCAATGGACCATGCCTTGGCACTTGCCCCAGTCCCACCCCCTTCTGCCAGAGACCCTCAGATCTGTCCCACTCCTGCCCAGGCCCCCACAGGCAACCTTGAAGCGAACGATGTAGAGCTGGCCATGCCCACCCAGTAGGCCACACCCACTCCATCCATGCCCACCCAGTAGACCACCCTGGCCACATCCATCCTGGCCCCCTGAGGGCAACTGCAATGCTGATGCGGCCCTCAATGAAATTGAGTTTGACACCCCTGGTCTAAGTCAGGAAGCCCTGGAAGAAACACATTCAGATGCCTGCTGCTCTTCTCCACTGGAGACTTCCCACAGAGGCTGGACGGCCACTTCCCAACCTTCCTTGGTGAGCCACACAAGAGCCGGGGCTGGACTGCATGGCAAGAAGGACACTTGCCCAGCCACATGGATCCTCGTTGACTAGTCAACTGCCTGTCCCAGGGTCTCAAAGATGGCCAAGGATCCTCAGAAGCCAAGAAGATGTTCTGCATCTTTCCTTTCGGCCATCTTGGCTGCTCGAGGGAGCTGGGCGGGGAGGGGGTGTCCGTCTCCACCTGGAATGGCAGCTCAGGGTGAGTCCCCTCTGCCTGGCTGCCTTTTGCCCCCTGCTCTTATGGGGCCACTGCACAACAAATAAAAAATAGCCCTGTGGGAATCCGGGGAGAGAAAAACAGCTGTCGATGGTTTTGACAAAATGTCTTTTCCTATTTTAATGAAACCAACCCTAACCGTAACCTCAGGAAGCCATTATGAAAAGGCAGAGCCTAGTAATAAGCAGCAAGAGATGTCAGAGGAGCACCTTCGTGTGGACATCGGCCAGAGCCGTTGACTGAGATGGGCAGAAATCAAATCAATGCGTAGAAACAAGTAAAATTCTGAGGGTAGGTAGGAACCTCGGCCCACCCGCATTCAGCCTCCTATCCAGCCGGGCTCTTTGCCAGGGTTCGGGTCTCTCCGAGTCTCGACTCCCGGGGCTGCCTGGACTGGTCCCTCAGCCCTCTTGGCAGCGTTGTCAGAAGGGGCTGCCCTTGCCTGCTTCCCAGGGCTGAGGGAGAGTGGCTGGCTCAGAGCCCCTCAGCTGGCGGGACTAGAATTCACAACCTCCCGGTTTTTGGTCTGGTGCCTTCAGCACGAGGTCAGTAACGGTCTATTCCAGGTGAGCCAACCGAACAACAGGAACCGCACTCGGGGTCTATGACGATCCGTCTCGGCCAACTCGCCAAAGCCAACAAGAGTTACACTAATATCAAGGACATGGTGGGATCGTTAAAGAAAGGATGCAAAAGGAGGGGGCAGAATGAAATAGGAAGGGCAAAAATTAAAATAAACTGAATTGTTAAACTGTCCCACGGTGAGTTGTCCCGCTCCACATTGGGAGAACGGCTTCACACGAGATACTCGGAGAGCCGCCGCGGCCGAGGTGGGAACCGACTTTTGGGAAAGGGGGCGGAGCCCCTTGGAGCCAATCAAGGGGCTTCTCTTGCCACTGCTGCGGGGGTGGGGCTGGAGTTTGAAACTGGATTTTTAATGTGAAGCGCTGCCTGGAATCTGTGAGTTCGGCGGCAGTTTAAATCTGTTTAATAAATGCATGTGCAAGGCCAGCTGCCTGGGGTGGCCTCAGGGCCTGCAGAAAGGCACCACCCAATTCTCGCTGATTAGACAGGGCCTGTGGTCTTCGTGCAGCCCCTGCCGGCAGATAGAGAATTGTCACAAAGGAGCTCCCCCCCCCACATAACTGCAGACAAGGCAACAGGCCTAGTGACAAGGCTGTTTTCTAGGTGGAAACAATCCATGCAGGAGGCTCTGGAGTGGCCCATTTGGGGCTCTTCCAGTCTGGGAGAGATCGGGTGATCCTGCACCAAGAGACATCCCAGCCAGAATATTCTGCACTGGAGCTTCAGGGAAGAGGCCAGGGCTGGCCCAATACCAAGCACAGCAATATGGGCCTGGGTCTACACAGCTCCCCCAAGCCAACCAGGGTTAAAACTAATCAAGCTGGGTCCTCACGTGGCCTGGTCAAGTCCGTATGGAAAAGGCTGCCCAAAAGGTGTCAGTCCCATCATGCTCCCCATAGTCGAGTTGTGAATGCCCCCAGATGCCGAACCAGTGTGTCTGTATTTACAATATTTATTTAATTTATAGGGCTGCCCATCTTGTCGTAGCAACTCCAGATGGCTACCAAACATATAAAGACGCAGTTGAAATGACATCAAAATATTAGAAAATGTAAGAAAGCAGCTGAAGT